ATTTTTTGCAAAAAGAACTGTGCACAGCCTGATAACTAAGTTGACAATCAAATCTCTAGCCCTACTGATAGCGTCCAGGGGAGGAAGCGTTTACATACAACTTTTTGAGGTGTTTGAATTTTATTTCTTTCAAATTTGCAGAATTTTGCTGACAATGTGCTTACTGATGATGCGCTGAGCTTTGCTATGATAGGGTCGAAGAACGCTTACTCTTGTCGATTGAGTCAGTCCTTGGACAAAAATAGACCCTGTTTTAGAGTTTGAGAAAGCTGAGCCACATTTAATAGCCGTGATGCTTCGAGCATACAATATGCTTCAAAAACAAAACATATACAAAAATTTAACCTGGTCTTTACAAAATTTGCACCTTGAAGATGTTAAGAGGTTTAGATAAAGTGTTCATTTCAATTCTTTTTGGATGTAGAACTGGAGCAGATTTGCTCATCAGTTCGGCTAAATCAAAGTATCTTTTAACCCTAAATAAGGTGGGAGGAACCTTACATTAAAAAGTGTATGAACGAGTGTATCTGAAGGAAATTAAAAGCAGCATTCATACAATTGTGAAGAGCTTCAGCGAAGATGAAAGAAGATTATAGGAGTTTTTTGCCATCATACTTTGTTTTAAGGCAACTAAGCTCATTTTGCAACCATTCTGTCTAAATAAGTCGATATGAAGTGACGAGCGAAAGCTGGAGTATTCTCTCCCTGCCAGTTGTAACTCATTCACTCGCTCACGTGCTCTACGATGCACATCACGTTTTCTCAAAAGAAACACCTAGGGAGTTTTTGGCCTACTCCAGTTCCTATTCATAGCCGCTCTCTTCGCTACTCCAGCCTTTCGACCTATTGTCCCAACGGACCCAGTTCTCACCATGCGTAAGTAATTCGCTACACCTACCGTTCTGCTGCATGGCGTCCACGGTGACCATCCTGCCCATCCAAGAGCAGACGTGAGTGACCATAACTGAAAAAAGAAGATGAAGTATTTAAAGACATCCGCATCCCATAAGTTTTCTATGACTTGAACGCGATTGTCTACCAAAAACAACTCTTCGCTGTTTATCGAAGCATAGTTGGAATGGCAGACGAGAGATGCTCTCAACGAGCAAC